GTCATTTTATTTCTCTTCAGCCTTCAATGAATTCCTTGACTGGGTTCGGGACTCAGTAGTTGTTGGAAAGAACATGACTTTACAGGAGCAGGAAGAACTAACTGAACTGAGACAAAATCGTGGTTGAAAGCTGAGCTTTGCTGATCTACCTTTGGACAGTTTTTGGTTGACTGCTGCCAAGGAGTTCCCCGTTCTGGCAAACAAAGTTATTTTGACATTGCTCCCATTTTCCACAACATATCTGTGTGAAGTGAGCATCTCAAGCCTGTCTATTAAAAAACTAAAAACAGAGAGACTCAGAGGTAGTGAGGAAGACCTTTGTGTGTGTCTGTCTTCAATTCTTTCCAGGATATCAGCTCTGTCTTCATCCAAACATTCACAGGTTTCACACTGAGTAAAATATACAGATATTGACATTCTGTACATGCAACTCTTCATTTTGTAACAGTGAAATCTTTCCCAAATATAATTTCTTCTCTCAGAATAAGAATTATTTTCTGTATTCCACCTAACAAAATGCTTGTGGACAAAATTAGTTTGCAAAACACTGAAGTTTTCCACAACTGCTTTAAATTTAAGACCACATTGTTGTGGCACTGTTCAGGTGTATTTTTGAAGTGGACATTCCTTTGATAAGAATGACTATATATTCAATATGGGTGGTTACAGAGTATCATTTGTTTACATTTTTGGTTGGTGGTGTGCCTCGTGATTTTTTCACAGAAAACAATGTACCTTGACTCAAGAAAGGTTGAAAACACTGCTTTAAACTATGTGTCAGTTTTACAACAGAAGGCTGTAATATGTTCAAAGAACAGATGTACAAATTAAGTTTTTCTTGTCAAACAGAGTAGAGGTGTGCAATTAATCAAATGTACAACTCAATTTGCTAAAACAATTTAACCACTAAAAAAAAATCATTGGCTTTTTGTTTTTGGATAATTTGTAAGTGTGCTATTATTTTACAATATCTCCCAAATGAAGCATGCTTCCATGCCTTTCAAAGGGTGAACTCCATGAGATTCTTGTTTTGAAAAGTTCAAAGGATGGCAGAAAGAGGAGAAAAGGAGCCTCAAAGTATCCTCCCAGTGGGATCTGAATTAACACACTTATCAGGAAACATTAACACACTTTAATCAGGAAACATCCTAATGTACACACTGCTGTTTCACACCTGGAAAAAAGTCTGGCATGAGACGACCATGTCTGCAGAGGTCTGAAACAGCAGAGGAATGGTTTACCAAAACCATCTGTGAAATTTCTTGCCAAAATCTAAATGACTTCTAGAATCTTTGAAAAGTTGCATTAAGAGGCTGAAAAGTTTGTTTGAAAAAAGTAATACATTTATATAATAATTTTGCAATATGTTGATGTACAGTAACTTTTCAACTGAGCATCTTTTTCAGAGATTGCAGAAATACATAATATTGCTATATGTATGTCTATATATACATATACATTTTTTTTTACATATAGTGTATTTAAATTAAAAACTGGTTATTTTAAATAATTTTTTTGCATTTAAGGCATTTCAATGACTTAATCCTAATAGGTGACTACATTTAACAACTACAAAATTGCAATCCAATAGTTTTCAACAACTGTGCAGCTCTATTTAGAGGTTGGGCATTTGAACAATTCTGGTTCACATTTTGATTCCTCGTTTCGATTCCGGTTCTCAACAGTTATCGATTCCATTTTTAATTAATTTTACTTCTACAATCTTTTTACCTTTTGTAAAACTTTACTGTTTTTTTTTTTTTTCATAGGGCTTCTTCCATGACTTAGGAACAGGTCCAGGTAAGCAGCATGTACAGTATATAATCATAAACGGTGCTAGGCTTAAAACCCGAACCGGAGCAAGATGAACACAGAAATCTAAGACCTGGAATTTGGTGGCTTCTGTCAGAGGACTGGGTTATCAAAATTAGGAATCAAAATTTAAAAAGTTGGACAATTCCAGGAGAACCGAAATGTTTGTACCAGTTACAATACATTCTTGATGCCCAACCCTTCCCAAAAATATATATAACATATATATTTCTTTTAAGCCAAACTAGTATATTTTGCCTATAATTGGGCAACCCTCATCAAACTTCTAGTCAGATTTTTGACTATATAGTTATTTGTGTATAAAGTAAAACAAAAAAAGAAAAGCACAGAAAAACAGAAAAAATCAACATAAAAATGAATGATTTACAAGATTAGTTTATTTATGTATCAAAGCGTGTCTCTAAACTTAATCTGACTTTTATCCTCCTCAGAAAATCTAAGAAAGCAAAAGTTGTTTTTCAGAATTTATTGCTGTAAAATTGAGCTCCTAGCTCAATGAATAAGCAAAATATGTAAATCTAATTGTTTAGCATTTGACCACCCAATCAATGACCACCACCAAAAGAAAAAAGGTGATTCTGATATCTGGCTACTTGATAAATCTGTGTTTTATACAAGAGGCCAAAGCAAAGGTCTAAAAATCATCCACTGTCATCTTCTGCTCTGCAGTGAGAGGTTTGACTGATAGACCAGCCTACCAGGTCATGCCTGCAAGCTTGTAGTTGTCAACAGTTACCCCACTATTACCACCTCAGAGACTTTCTTCCTACATTTAACGACATTTCAATCAAAAAATGGCACTGGCTAAAATCAAAATCGGCAGGTCAAACTTTTTATGGACTGATAATTTATGATCTGCGAGAAAGCTGCAATCGGTGCACTGACCCATGTAAGATGGCGGCTCATGCAAAACTTTATCCCACTTACTTGAAGGTCTAACTGTGACTTTTTCTTGACCAAAAACAGGAAGCACAATTTTAATGCTTATCCTGAATCCATAAGACTTAGGATATATATATTTTTTGAAGAATATCAGTAAAATGCAATTACATTCCAATTTCACAAGCCAATGTTTTATTCTCGGAATATTAGTTTGCTACTAATTGTCAACACAAGGACAACTTGATAACAAGGTTCAAGGGTATTATATTTCACAGGTCATTGAAATTCGGTGACCAACATACCCTCAGATCATCGTTATAATTAGAGCAGCTGTTTAAATTAGCTAATCAACCTCTGCTGTGTTCAGATCATTTTATAATGCCAAAATAAACATCAAGCCTGAAAACATGAAACTGTCAAGAACTGCATGTGTTGCCTTTTGTGTGGGAAAAGTTTGCGGGTTTTATGCTGATGAATCCTCATATATATATATATATATATATATATATATATATATATTTATTATATATATATATATATATATATATATATATAATGGAGCTGTTTGTTGCAATGGCAACGAGTCTGCGCGGAGCTAGCGACAATGGCATCAGCTAATAACGAATGATAACCTCGTACGTAAAAGTCCTGCCACTTTTCCTAGTTTCACTTTAGAGTTTGTTCACGCTGCAGCCTGTTGTTAGCGGTGCAGCTGGTGTTATTTAACTTACTTTAGCTGCTGCGGCGTTCAGAGCAGCTCTGCTCTGGCTTTAGAGGCAACAGGGTCTGCGGCCTGTCTGCAGCTCCCGTCGCGTCGCCGGTAAAACTTTAGCTTGTAGCTGAGCTTGAGTTTGAAGTTACATCACTTCGTCTGCCACCAAAAAAACGAAACGGGGATCCGCTCCACGGTGAAGCTCCATCCGCTGATGACGAACGGTGGACGCTCCGCTCTGTCTGATTTGATCGCCGTCACCGTCCTTCCAGGTCAAATTTAGATTTTTGTTGTCCTGGATACTTTACAAAATGTCTTTCCGTCATTCCTAGTCTTTGAATCTCGGATATAGAGCCAAAGTTGTGAAAACTTATATTTTCCTATGTCGAAGCGCAAAATGACTAGCTAGTCTCAACACGTTAGGTGAGGCGGCTCCAACACAACGCATGCGCACAGCAGCTTGGAGTTGGAGCTAAAAAAAATTTACACAGATTTTAGTAAAACTAACTTAAAACAATAAGTGAGCATCAATGGAAATAAAAAATATTTTTGCAGGGATGATAAAAATTGTACTACCTTTTACTACCTTTAGTTACTGGCCCACATTTTTACTTCCTTTTGCTGGCCCCGATTTGAGCTCATTTAATTTACTACCTTTCACTACTTTTGACTACCGCGGAAACTGATATAAAAGCTGCAATGTATAAAACACTTTGAGACATTCTGTTTTAAAAGGACAAAGTATAACACTGAACTCAAAAGATTAAACCTGGAAAAGTGTAACTTTTTTTTTTTTTTTTTTGAAAGAATCAGTCAAATCCCCTAAATGTACTGCAAAGAGACGATATCCACATCGCTCACAATATACACAAGCTTTTTCTCCTCCCCACTTGAGTGACAAAAGCTGCTCTGCAAGTTGGGCAAGTGAAGACACGGACCCTACGGCTAATCGGTAATATTCAGCCTTAAAATGGCAGGCAGTTTTTATAAAGTCCTGAATGTTTCCTCTCCCAAAAAGAAACTCAACAAGTGACAAAAAAAAAGGAAGTCTCATCTTACCCAAGTTATGTTTTCCATTTCTTTCCTTCAAGCACTCTTTTGAGTGATGGACAGATGTTTACTTTTTCAAGACAGGTTCAAATAGATTAAAAAAACTATTCAACTGGTAAAATAATGCAGGATTTTTGTTCATCTATGCAAAGAGATTTTTTTTAAGCGCACAAGCCCAGAGATCAGAAGCAAAATAATAATCCAAATAGTAGCCTTCATATAAAAGATGTAACTATATTTAAAGTGCCATAATGGCTTTATTTTTGTAGCAATGCAGAAGAAGTTGGGGGGGAAATGAGTTTCTGAGATTATCAGGAGTTTGAAACTAACTGGTTTTTAACACTGTTATGAGTTTATTCATTTGAGGAATCCAACAGGAACTTCATGTACAGTTCCTCTTAATATCTGCGCATCCCACGACTCAGGTGGCAAGGCTGGTGTTATTTTACTCGTTCCTTTTCTCTGTTCTAGTCATCTCCTTGTTACGAAGCTATATGAGGGCAAATCGGTGCTGCGTCCTTACCTGGGCCGTCGGATCCCGGTATGGGCGAATTAATCTTGGGTCGCTTTGCAGTGGGGGGTCCCGCATCCAGCAGATTGTCAGCCATCCTGCTCGGCGAAAATGGTCAATGGATGTTGATGCCGGGAAAAATAACAGCCGGGTCAAACCGAACCTTGAGTCTCTGGTTTGTAATAATACGTAACTTTTTTTCTTTTTCCTCTTCCAATGTTGCGTGCGAAGAAGCGACGTTAGTAGTTTATTTTTTTCTTGACTGGCAGAGTGGCGAAATGCTGCCCGGAGAAGACGGATTTGAAAAGAAGGGCTACAGCGCCACGCTTCGCAACCGAAGATCACCCCATGATAATCCAACACCCAACACCCACATAATTATCCCCAATTACCGCGTTCAAAAAATTATTTTAGTTCGAGCAAAATAAATAAAAAACAATTATAAAATATTACACGGCGTACAGGCGAATCCCTTAGCTCGCAGATGGCCGGTTTCACCCACGTACAGAATCATTTTTTAGCAGTCGAAATAAGCGGCGATAAAATCCGATTTTTGCTTAAATAAAAAAAGGAAAATTCAGAAAATATTTTCTATGAGGCGGATATTTTTTCTCGTCGCTGTCTCCCCAGCAAATACAGCGTTCCATGGACGGAGATACGGCGACAACCAGCGGCGCTCTCTGAAAGGGAAATCAAATATACAGTGGCCTTTCAGGACGGTAAAAACCCCCGCAACCCTCACATGTTTGGCCTCATTCTCTGCGGAAGAATCTCGTCTTCGATTTTCGACAGAAAAAATCCCGTTTCAGCCGGCTATGGGTGGCTCCGGTCGGTTTTAAAAATTGTGCTCCCCCGAAATTCCTACTCCGAGCCGCGTCAAGATGGCGGCTGTTGATTCCTCCGATACAAAAAAAAAAAAGTTTTTTTTTTTTTTTGGTGGTAGGAGGGGGACTGCTCCGACGCCCTGACGTAAACCTGTATCCCACCGTGCGTCATGTGAACGTATAAGAAGTTACCTTTAGGCGTGAAATGACATGAAAAATGAAAGGTATTCAATCTGTATTAAACTTTAACGATATACATAATGCATTTTATGACGTAGAATCGGCAAAATAAAGCAAAAGCGATGCATTTTCGAAAAACAAAACTGTAACAAAAAGCTTACAATAACTCATTTGACTTTTCATTACCTTGTCACTTTATAAACCTCAAGGTATTTCATTGTGATCATGTAATAAACCTACAAAGAAAACAAAATCTGATTCCAGATGGAAGCTAAAAAATCCATTTTCAATTCTCAATTTATGCGTGTTTATGTATTTCTGACATCTTTGGTTTGAAGTTTGACAAGCTATGTGGCAAAGGTAGCAAATATTTATAAAAATAGTGCTTAGGTTAGATAAAGGTGCACTAAAAATTTACAGATTTTTCCCCAACATCTACAGATTTCCCTTTCTCCTAAATGTACCATAACGTGGTGATGCTACATTTCAAAAGGGGACAAAAAAGCTAGTCTGGTTTGACAACAGAATACATGGCAATCTTGGAAGAAAACCTGAAGAAGCCTGCAAAAAAATAATAAATCAAGACTAGGGCAGAGGATCACCTTTCATCATAGTTGTCAAACTCAAGAAGATTGAGCGCTAGCATTTAAATGTTGGGCTCATCAAAACACCTCTGAATTAAATTTTGCCTTTACTGGTTTCTTTTGCTTGTAAAATATGGATAAATATACTATCTTCGTGTGTCATGAATATACTGGAATTTTATTTCCAGTATGTTCAAATTCAAGTCAGAGTCTGACTGATTTGAGTCTATCTGACTCTGATTTGAGTCTATCTGACTCTGATTTGAGTCTATCTGACTCAAATCCTATCTGAAAACAGTGGTTTGGCTTGAAAATGTCGTTTTTTAATGAGACAACATATGCCATTTGATAAAGTTTGAGCAACGTCCACAGATGGAGAAAACTTAAATAGACGTACTCCAAAAAAAAAAAAAAAATTTTCCCAATAAAAGTTAGTTTGATAAATTGCTGAGTCAGTGGTCCAAATATAAATTCACCATTATGTGTTAATTATGTACAGATTTCTGTATGTAAACAGAAATCTGTACATAATTAACATTGCTAGACTAACACTATTAATCGAGCACATTAAATTGGTCGCAGCACATTAAAATGGTCGCAGTGGCAAAATTAATTTAGTTTTTGTGTTTTAAAGCAGTGTTTTTTTAATAAGGGGTTTAAATTTAATTACACATATTTTTAGAAAACGTCAACATGCAACATATAATAATCTCTAAGCTTAGTTAAAGAGTACAAGACACAAAAATGTGTATGACGGACTTACAATCTTTTACCTCCTAAAACAGGTTAATATAATGTTTAGGCTGTAAATTGAATCGTCCTCTTTAATGTTCAGCAAGTGATTTTTATTTGAAGTTAAATTTCACTTCACCTATTAGCGTGCCTTATACAAAACATAAAACAATTTATTGTGTGGGAGTAATCGCAAGCTACTCCACTTTTAACTATCAGCAATATTAGCTGAGCTCCGTCTGTTACTGTATACTATGAGAAAAACTGGGCCCTTCAAGATATTAAAGAACCTCACACTTTTATCAACACCTATACAGATTTACACATGCAAGTCAACAAAACACACAAGCATTATTCCAACATTGCTTAAGTTGTCCAGTTCTAAACTATTTAATACCCAATTTCATGCTCTTATACAAATAATAGAAAATGCTTTACAGTAGAAAGGCATAATGTAGATAAAAAATGAAAGCCTTGTGCAATTTCATTTTAACAGTGTGTGTGTGTGTCTGTGGGTGGGGGGGGAACAACCAGCAAATGGAGACAACACACAACAAAACTGCATGAGATGGCAATGACACTCTTTGGCATCAACATTTTTCTAGTGCACTATTCTGCTGGTTCAGAATGTGACCAACATCTCAATGACTCCAGCTAAATCAATACACTGTATGCTCATGTACAGGCAAGAAAACAATAAAGGGGTTCAAAATCAAAATCTGGGAAAGCGGATGTTGTTCATTGCTGTACCCCGATATAGTCCAGAGTTCAAAAAGTATAACTAAACGACCCCCAAAAACAAAGGCTTGTCAAATTCATGCTTTATCCAAAACATTTTTACTTTTACCAACACCTAACTGTATAGTAATACTTTTTCACTTTTTGTAGTGTCAAACATATTAAGCTATCAGGGTTGTGTGCTCATGAGCAAAGAAACAGAGGTTTGCTTTTCATTTTCTATGTTTACATATACACTACACCATATCCATAAGGCATGCAATAGCAAAACAAAGTGAAAAAGGTTGTTACCATCAATAAAAGGGACTAGGCATTTTTGAAAATGATCCAAATAAAATTTTATTTAAGCTATAGATTCACATTTTATGCTTTGTTCTTAAATATGTTGTAATAAATCAAATCATCTCAAAGTGAAAATCTGTAAAAAAAAAAAAAAAAAGTTAAAGCACAACCCAAGCATCAGAGACATAACTTAAACTATGAAAATATTAAATATTCATACAAATGATTTACAGAAATAAAGGCAAATTGGTTTCTATTTATAAAGCTAAATTGCAAGTTGAAAATATGAAGTGGCAGTTTTAATATTTGAGGATTTGCTACTCATTATTTTTGAACAAATCCAAATTAAGACAAGTGAGTGAAATTGTATCTTTTTGCTCTTGAGCACACAATCCTTTTTTAGCAAGAACAATGACAGAAAATGCAGTGCATGGTTATTTTAACATTATAGCATGAAAAAAAAAGCTTTAAAAACACCTAAGTATATGAATCACATCTGAGACACGCCTTTTGCATTTACAGTGCTATCACATTAAGTTTCATGCCACTAAAGGTTGTAAGCAGCAAGCGTCAAGCTGTTCACATCCAGTAATGTCTCTGAGATCCTGGAGAATTAGACGTCTTAAATGAACAGCTAAAGTTTCATGTAACAACACAAACACATTTGTGACATTCCATATCAATTATCCTCGTTTTGAGAGAACTAAGAACTACTTTAACACAGTGTAATGCAATTCAGCTTTAGGCAGTTATTCTTTTGTCTTAAGTCTTTCTGAAATCATGGCTTAAAACGATCTATAGATATGTTAGCTTCTTCTAAAACACCAAACACATCTTGAGCTCCTACAGAACTAAATTGTTGGCTGAGGGAACAACTACGAGAAGCCTACAATGTTGCAAGCATGCCAATAAAGTATATCTGAGGAAACCATGTTTTAGAAATATAACTGTAGTCAGAAAAGAAAAGATGCCACAACAGCAAACGAGTTTGTATTCCAGTCATCTCAGAAACTCTAGGGGAGCTTAACCATTACCTGAACATATTGTCCAATAAAGGTTACACAATGTTAAATACATGCAGATATCCTCACACAGTTCAGACTCATCTACTGTGTCCTTTACCAATTAGTCCTGCTGATGCCATGAGGACTTTTCTAGTTTTACACAAACTGAGGCACGGCAGCAATTATTGTGCAGATTTTCCCATGTTGAACTAGCATGTTTTGTCATAGCTTTCACTTAAAGGGATACTTCGGATTTTTTTTTATGAAATGTCATCCATAAAAGCTTCCTCACTGATGTCAGAAGTTTATAAAAAAGTGAATAAGTCCTCATAGCGGTGAAAGGGTAATAGCTAATAATATGGGGGAAAGCGTTTTCGCCGACTTCAGCAGCTTAAAACAACTCAAGATGAAAATGTTTCCATTTGCGGGATACAATACTAGATTAGTAGACGTTAACTGCCTGCACTTTCAGTTAATATCTGCTTATGACAACAAGATAGGATCATATTTGTTGCCATTTTCTATGCTGACAGGTCCATGTGTACTATGCTAAAGTTACATTAGTTATATTTGCTGTCATCTGCCGTCACTTGCTTTGTCATCTGAATTAATTTGCCTCATCAGCTTTGACTAGTCAGTTTGCTCCAAGTCCACCAAGACCAGAATAAGCATTTGGATTCAATAGCATTGAAGATTATATGTTATCCATGTCTCATAAGAACTAGTCAAATGAAGAAATTAACTACAGAAACCTTCGCAACAGGCTGTTTTTGCTAGTAAGCTGAACAATGTTTATGTTACTGTGCAGAAGTTTTTATGTTAGTTAATGCAGGCTGTATCAATCTTTTCACCAAGCCCTGCAAGATGCAACTAAACTTCTAGTGTGTTACATAACTTGTGGAACACCTGGTTTTTATAATTTAACACATTTTCAACCACAACAGAAAATGTTTAAATACCTGGGATAAAAGGCAGTAACAGAAGGTATTAATCTAGAATTTTAAAGAGATTGCTGTCAAATTCGTTGGTGTTTTGTTGAAGTTGGAATAATCTGTTACCACACTGAAAGTCAGATGGTTTTGCTACATTAGTGATGGGTCAGCAACGACTGCTTTGGATTTTGTCAGACGGCAGTGAATATGCTAGACTGGTGCTCTTCCTCATCACATAGTCAATATCAAGTCGTCCAGACAGACTAATATCACAGAAACCTCTGACAATTTTGCCTGGTAGTGTGAATGTTGTTTGGCTGAACAAACAGCAACAATCTTTGCAGTAGCTGAAAATGTTGATTGGTAATATCTAATGATAAAGTGGCACACCCCACATTTGGAAACATTTCCAGCTTGAGTTGTACATTGTTGGATCTACTTGGTAGCTTTCCTCCATTCTTCATGTCAACTTCACATAATTAAAATTATCCATTTATTTTTGTTGTATTTTGTTTTACTGATTTCCTCTTGGATAAAAAGGCAAAAATAAGTAACTGCAAAATATTGTTTAAAAAAAGTAAACCAATAGAAAAAGCAAAGCTTTAT